GAATCAAATGTGTTTGTGCTTTGAGCTGTCGTTTTATTTGATACTTTGGTCACAATATGCACATTTCACTTTGATATAAACCCAGAACATCAGTGGGTTTCCTCTCCTACTGTAGTTTTTCTTGTTCTAATTGTGAAGATTTTGAGCTCTTGGTTTTCATCAGAAGGGAATGTGACCACCACAGTCCTCAAAGTGCGAAGGAGGAGGTGTATTTCTGTACATGCCTCGCACGTTGTACCCTTCCTACTTTCTTTTCATACTGGAATGCGTTTTCGTTTTCAGTTAAAACCATAAAATACAAACACGATTCACAATATAAGGTACAGAAGAAACACAATGAAAAAAGATGACTTGTTAATTACGGTAGCAGATACACTGTTCCAAATTACTTTTGTCCGAAGTCAGCGTGTCTTTATGTATAATAAATCTTGACTGTTTTACACTATCTCCTGCCTTGGCCTGTCTATATAGTTTAAAACACTGTATAAATTATCAATATTTATTTTTTTAACAGAGGATGTGAAAATTGAGTACACACGACTTGGTAGAAAGTTCTAGTTGTTTGTTGGTTTTGTGTGTGTTGTGGATTTTTTTCTGTTTGTTTTTTTTTTCTTCTAAGAAACCTTTTTCTTCTGTGAAGATATCAAAGCTTTGTATTGTGCATTGATTTCTTCTAGCAGCTGCATAACACCAAGACAAATAAGTTTTGTCGTATATTGTAAGATACACAAGTCATTGTTCTACATTGTTAGTTCTTACTTTGAAGTTCTCATTTATTGTTTACATCCTTCTCCCTCTTCCCTCGCTTCCTCCCTCCCTCCCCCATATATTCATAGACTTAGAAAAAAATCTGGCAAGCAACAAGTACTGCTCAGTCAAATATCCAAAAAAAATAAAATAATAAATGTGATGAATGCTAAACCTTTGAGATGCCACCTCTGGCCTAAGGGTGACTCCTGTAACGAAGAGAAGTGAACAGTGATCTGTGGTTCAAAGCTCTCTCTGGTTGCTATTGTTAGTCTACTTACTGATTTACTTTTCAATCAGGTATTTAAGTATTTCTGCAAATTTTTGTAACTGGTGACAAGCTGAAAATGTGTCTTTTGAGTACAGTTAAATAACAGTTATTTAAATACTATTTAAATAACAGTATTTAAATAGCAGTTGTTATTTAAATTTTCATCGCACCTTAGCTGTGCTGTGAAAGTACGGGGCACTGATAACGATGAAACCCCATTTTCAGGTAACTATTTGCTGGTTTTGTTGGTGGTTTTTTTTTTTGTTTTTTTTTAAATTAGGAAGAAAGTGTGACCAGGCACATAAAAGCCATTCTGTTGATACCACCCTCCATGGCTTTAAATAACAGGGACAGCACAGATGTTTGACATCAGTACTGTTTACATGGCCTTAGGGTTTAATTGCCTCATACTCTTTGTAAGGAGAATAAACAATGACAGAAATCCAAAGGAATGATGTTCAGGCAACAGCAATGGCTGCATTTCATACATAGTTGCAAACTTCTCAAATATAGCTAAGTATCTACACTTATTTTTTTTTTTTTGTCGGAATGATAACATGCTATAAATCTGTTCTGCTGCCTCTTAACTGGGAATAAAAGGTAAAACCGATGAGCGTAGTTGATTGCTTCTAACAAGGTGAATGACTTTTCTAGGTTGTTTTTATCTATTTTCCCTAAAACTTATGAAGGTTCTTGATACTGGTGTAGGTTACTCTGTTTCTCACTGTGTGTTTAGTAAATAAAGTCAAGCTGAAGTGCAAAGGGCGCTTTAGAGAAGAGCAGCACATGAAATTACAAAGTGCTGTTCCGCAGGAAATTGAGACGAGCTGAGCAAATGAGGTTTGACATTTGGTAACTACAGAGATGTGGTTGACTCAGTTTGGTATGGTTTTAATTTGAAAGATAGTTATCTTATTGAAATTAGTATTTGATAATGTGTTTAAACTTTAAAATGGAAGGGGAGAAGTTTCGCTCCCAGTTGTGACAAGGCCATTTGCTGCAACCTCAGCCTTGATGTAATCACTTTGAAAAGAGTATTTACATGACTTAATTTTTCGTGGGATTGGAAGTCCGCCTTACACAAAGGGTGGGTCAAAAAGCAGATTTGTAAATGAAACCAGTACTCTGAGCATTGGTATAGGACGCTGTTATGTTGTCCTTACACTTTCTGGGTTTTCATTGGTTTTGCACAGAAAAAATTTTAAGTGTAGGATTTTTTAAAGTAATATACATTTATTTTTACAGCAAATGCTCAAATTAACACTTCTAGAAGTTGTGATGAAGATACACATGTGTCTTGGAGCTATGGACCATTATAAAATCTAAATTTTGTCAGATTATTTTTTTTTTTTATTTATATCATTTTATCTTGTTAAGTTTATAGAAGTCGAGGACTCTTGAGTATTTTTGAAGGTATTGCCTTTCCAGCCCTCAACTGATTAGGAATTGTTCTTTAGGATTTTTCACATAGGAGTTATTTTTAAGGTGTTTTTAAATTATTATTCCAAAAAACAGGAAAAAAATATTATTACAGTGTTCACAGCTATTACAGCCTTTGTTGGGAGCCGATTTCTTTATTTTGAGTGTGTTTTTCACATTTATTGTTCGGTTGCAACTAACTCTCCTTTTTTGGAAAGCAGTCCCCAAATCTGTGAAATCTTAAGGGTCGCCCAATCTACTGGAAATAGGGCAATCAATTAGTGAAGTAAAATTGATGAGAGCTAGTGCGAGTGCGGGAGTGGTGTGAAGTGGAAGGTTAATGACAAGGAGTGGGAGCCACCTTCAAGTACAGGGATTTCTGCTGCCAACCTGTGGGAAAAGAGCTATGTGGCTGGGAGCAGTCACCATGGCTTGAAAATACACGTCCGTATTGAAGACAAGACAAATTTTAGGGTTTGATTTATTTTTATGTTCTTTCAACCTACAGAATAATAAAACGTAGACCAGATCTCAGCTGATGCAAAGTACCGAGGATTAATTTACATCAGCTGAGACATTCTCACTTTATCAATGAGTTTTAAATGTAATAATGTTTGTGCGGATTTAATAGCTATGTGAGCACAAAAGCTAACATCAGTAATTCATGAGCTTTTAATGTAATTCAAGTAGATTGGAGTCTCTTTCATGTTTAGTTTCTAGTATTTGTGTTTTTACAAGGCCTTCATATTTATTTATGGAATGTTCACAAACTGTCTATCTGGAAGTGGATTACCATGCTCTTTTTTTAAAAAATCAACACTTATTTATCACCCAGTACTAAGATTTTCTACTATAATGTCACTTTGTTGGAGGGATATATGCATATATTTCTTTTCATATATACATATGCATATATTTCATGAATAGAGCATGCATTTTTATCGTGATGCTTATTTTGGAATGATAAAAGAGATGGCTGACAGCTGAGAATACTATCTATTTTCTTTGGATTAATTGTCAATCTAACTTTTTTCCCTTCCTGTAATTTGCATAATGTACCTATTTAGTCTTGTGAGATAGGTGGCCTCTTCATATGGGGTGCAACATATAATATATTTTGGCTATCAGTGGATGTAGAGTTCAGAAATCAAAGGGATTTGCTGCTCTTGCTACTTCTGGTTTTAGTTCTTGAGAGGCTATTTACTGGATGACATTTTGCATTTTCGCATTGACATGGATTTTTGTAGCTCGCATTTTCAAATCACAATAACGTAGCGATGTCTTCAAGTAACAAACAGAAATACATAACACAAAATAATCATAAAGAAATTAATAAATTGCAATGTGTTTATTGCTTGTATACGTTAGATGAAGATCCATGCCTGAATGACTACTTTTGATAAGTCAAGGGAGTATAAATAAAGGCAGAATGAGTAATGCTTGCTGGTTCCTTTTAGAGACTGCCAGCTGAGAGGGCTCGAAGTCACATTTTTAGTTGAGCAAAACAAATTTGAGAATTAAAATATCTGGATGGTGATAGGAGTCAAGCGTCCAGCTCCAGGGCGGGCGGACCTCGGCACCGTGGGCTCTTAGAGCATCCGAAAGACACGTACGCATCCTTCGGTTGGCCACAGACTGCTTATTGTGGCGAGATGCTGGTACTCGCGCTCCAAGGATTTTGGTCTGCGCTTTCTCAAGTGAGGGAGCTGTTGGGATCTGCCACTCAGGGGAAGCTTTTCTGTCCGCTTTGCTTTCTGAGCAGTGGAGATGGCTCAATGTAGATGTGGAATAGCCTGAATCCGCACTCGAGATGTCACTTTTGTGTTTTGGAAAACCCTTGAGCAACACAAAATACCGATCAGATTTGCAGAGTCCTGAAGACAGTCTTTATTGGTGCAGTCAAACTATACAAGAGATTTAAAAATACTTTGAAGATGAAATCTTAGAGTATAAGCAAGGAGCGACAAGGTGTTACTGTCTGAGGGGTTGAAGTGCGCTACTTTGAACAAACCTGAGCAGGAAATGTATTTTAGCAATCAAGTTCAGCAGCAATATCCTTAATCCCATTACAAGTATCCTTGAAAAGGAAATGTGTTTATAATGTGAAATCTCTGAATAATAGAAAACAAACAAAAATAAACATGCATCTGGGCTAAAGGACATTCTTTGTATAAATGTAACACCTGCCTGAAGAATAGAAGCAAGTTTACCATACTTGGTGTATTAACAGAAATATTAAAAGTTTCATTCTTGAGTGTTTATTTAACTAAAGGATGATAGCTTTTTCTAGGCAGTAGCAGTTGTTTTTCTTGCCAACTAAAACATCTTATGAATTCGTTTTTTAACTAAATATTATAGGTTGAGATCTTCTGTAACAGCTTTATGAAATAAATATAAAAATACTGGGAAACTGAGTATAGATTTTTTTTTCTTAGCAGTTATTTGTTAGTGACTTCCCATTGCCTTCTCAAAGATACAAATGAATAATTTAGAAGTGATACAAAGGTCACTCGTAATTTACTTTTTATTTAAATTATTTATCTTTTCTGTTTTGCTTTTAAAGCTGGACTTGAAAATGAAAATAGCAGAACGTAAATTTCATGAAGAAAACATTAGATTACAGCAGAAGCATGATTCTGATGTTGAAAAGGTAAGAAGTGTTTGCATTTTTTTCCCCAAAGACATTATATGAAACAAAGGAGTCGAGAGTCTGATTCCAATTAATAATTTGCACTTGTACTTTAGCTTCTTCACAATTGCAGTTAATGTTCCTCTAAAGTGAGATTGTAGGGAACAGTTTGTATAAGCTGATAGGAATGCAGAGTATTCTATGATAATATAAACTTAGGAAGGGAAATACACTTGCAGAAAGCAGATGAAAATACATGGTGATCTGTTTGTTTGAACAAGACCCCCTGTTTCACAGCCTGGTGGCTTCTCTGGGCTCACGTGCTGCTGAAACCGTGAATTCATGTTTCTTCTTTTAGAGAGAAAACACCTCTATTATAGAAAAATGTGAACAAAAGTACTTAATTCAATTTTTCTGGACAAAATGCGAAAAGTGACAGCAGGAAAAGCGTCAAGTACATCATACATGTTCTCGCTACTGCGGCAAGAGCGCTTGTTCTCCTCTCTGATTTGACAGCATACCCTAAAGCATAGGCTGGCCAATAAACAGTTCATTATTTATGTTATGGCATTGTTAAAGCTCCACGTGGCTTTCAGTTCCTCACAGCAATAAAATGACACCAGATATACTTCCTTTGCGTTAAGCTGCCTTCTCTTTAGGGCGTTGCTTATCGCTGCTTTGGGGGAGATTACAAAAAAAGACGTATCAAAGACCACACTGTTACTTTAATCCCGTGTTTTAAACGCGTGGGGGCAAATTCTGCGAGGTCCTCGGGGCCTCCTGCGGTGCTTGGATCCCAGGAACACGAGTGGGAGTTGAAACGCTCGGCGCCGGGATCGCGAGGACTTATCCTATTGTAAGCTCGGCATTACCGAGCACCTCGTTTTGTTTCTGAAGACTGAGTCACAGGCTCGGAGGAAGTGAGTTGACACAACACTGTGACACATCAAAGCCTCCTGGAAGGATGTTAATATTTGGTCAGGTGCATATTTGGCTCATCTGTTCTCAAAGTCTGCGGCGTGACTAGCTAGCAAAGCCGGGAGTCTAAAGGAAACAGCTTTGTGAGAATAAGAAATAGTTTAAATGCTTTCTCATCCCTTGAGCTGTCATCCTTTTCTAACCGATGTTAGAATTCCGTCTTTTGAAGTCGTTTAATAACATTGGATATTTTAGAAAAGGTTAAATAGTGTCATATTAATCTTTAAAGACACAAAACATTTAATGCAGATGGAGTAATATTGTTTTAAGATGAAAGCTTCTGTTTGATGAGAGATTTGGGGCACTGTTATAAAATTTCTGTGACTTTTAATGTTTATCTTAGACATGAAGTTTAAATTAAAATGCTATCTCAAAGTGTGCAAATATTTGAGCATTTTTTTTTCCCCAAAAAAATCAGCATGCGCAGAAATGGGAATGTAGTTACACCTCATATACTTGCTCTATTCCAACTCATTGTTTCTTGGAATGCTTGCAAAGAATTGCAGTTGGTGAAGTGCAAAGGACCATAATGAAGTAATTAGTTATTTCTTAAACCTGCTGATAATTTTAGATGCTTTTAAAGAGTATTAGGCAACATAAATACAGGAAGGGAAACAAATCTTTTCTTTTTGCAGCAGTAGCACCATGAGACTTCCAAACTCAAGAAAAGCAACAGTGGATTTAGCCAAGTTTAAAAGTCAACAAAAAGACCCCCCCAAAAACATGGAACTCCTTTTCAATCTGCTCTACTGCCTACACTTATCTAAATCAGTCCTTTGATTATGACTTGGCAATCTTAGCTGGGAAAATTACTTAGAATTAATCACTGAGGTCGGCACAATCTAAGCACTTCTTGGTGGCAGCTCCTTTGCCAGACATCAGTACGTACTGTTTTGTGTGCTGGATGTAGTTTTGGTTTTTTGCCTTCTGTTGAAGTATTGTGACTTTTCCCTGCAGATTTTGGATAGAAAGAATGATGAAATACAGGTATTGAAATCCCTCTACAAAGCCAAACTAAATGAAGCTGAGGAGACAAATAGAAAACTGGAGAAAAAAGGTGATTTTTTTTAAATATTTTTTTTTTTTAAAATCTTTGTGGTGGTTGTTTTCTTCATGGTGCTATTATCCTGCATCCTTCTTGTGGCTTACGCATTCCTGATAGGTGCAGATGTTCTTTACCTCTTCATTTGCTGGTCTTGACCTAGTTTTCCCTTTAGATTTTCAGAGGCTTGTTTGGTTGTCTTTGCTATCCAGTTTCCCAACCAGATTTTCCAAGAGGCAGTGTGATCCTGTTGTATTCACTAGAGGTTTTATAAGTATCATCAGAAAAGTTTCTTTGATGATACTGAAGTATTTGGGCTGCTTATTTCAAACCTTTTGGAATCTCTGGCTCAAGGTTCATTTATTTTTGAATTCAGTACATTCTAATCAAACCACAATGTATTATTTATTTAGGACTATTGTGGCAAGAGATTTCAAACATGAGTAGTAGTCTTGGGTATGCCAGAAGTACAAAACTTGGCCTGAATGTGCTTGTCAGCAGTTCTTGATATTAGTTTCTTTTAGAATTCCTTGGAGTCCATTTACACTATGGACTAAACCACAATGTGAAATAATACGTAAGTTTGGTAACCGATGTACAAAAAGAGGGAGAGTTCCATGTATATTGTTTCCTGCTCCATGGCAAGGTGAACTGACCAGCAAGAGGCTGGTGGTTGAGCTGATCTGTAACAGGTTGTCTTCAAGGCATCTATACTCTTGCCAGCTAGTGAAAAATTATCAGTCGCTTCTGAGAAGTGGATATGTACCTGCTTTGTTTGTCACAGAACTCATCAGACTGTGAATTCTTGGTGCAATCGCTTGCAATTTAAATTGGGGAACTTCATTTCCTTGTGTATCTTGGGCACTCAACCTTCAACAAGAACCTTTTCTTCTAAGTATACATAAAATCAGGTTAAAAATGCCTGTTTTCTTTAGGTTATACAGAATTTTGTTGATATGTGTTTACTGCTTGATAAGGAAAACTCAATATGAAATATTTTGTAAATAATGTAGAGAAGAAGAGAACACCTTGTAATATCTTAGTAACATAGAACCTAAGGCTAAATTTTAAAGAAGCACATACATGAAGTATTTTTAAGAGCAAAAGAAAGCCAGGTGAACTGGCCAGCTGATGTAATCTGTTTGCATCTATTGCCAACACTGAGAAAACCCAAAGGTATCTCTTGAATGCTTGTTTATTTTCCCGTTTTTGACAGTTCAGACCCTTGTTCGTGAGTCACAAGTCGTCAGAGAAGCAAAAGAGAAGCAGATTGTGGAGTTAAAGAAGATGTGTGAGCAAAGCAATGATTCTTTGAACAATGAGTGGGAGAAAAGGGTAATGAACAATACTTGCTTTCTTTGCAAGCCTCCTACAGGGTCTGTGGGGAATAATACATTTTGTTTCTTAAAAATAGATAAATAGAAGTAGTATGTTACTCTGAGCCATGTTCTTATCAACATCTTTTAATGCTGATATTATTTTTTCCTGGAGTAATCTTTTTGCTGATGCTTGCACACCCACTCCCACCCCGCTGGGCGCTCCACTCCTGGGGTTCATCTGGTGCTCCTGGCAGGGCTCTGGGTGTATTAGGGAAGTGTTTATTTCTGGTTGACCTGACATGGAATTTTAATCTTGGTAAACCTGCTGCTACCTGCTGCCACGGTGATTCCTTTGAACTATTATTTTTGCGTCGGGTCATGAATTCTTCAATATGTTTTTATTTATTGTTAGACCCGAGACAGCAGCAAAGCAGAGAAAAAAGCGTGTTTATTGTAAGACAGCTTCACCCTTGTCCAGATTATTGTCACTATTTGTCTTGCTTACCCCTCTCAGGAGAGGGCGGGTCACAAAAAGGGCAAAACCACCTCTCTTCATAGATGAGGTATGCTGTTTAATTTTTTTGCAGCCCTGCATCTGGAAGCAATGTTGGTTTCAGTTCTTGTCTTGTAAGTGATAAATCATAAATCTTGTCCTTTGTGCTCAAGACCTTGAGGCTTCAGTGTTAGGTGGGTGTTTTTTTGGTTTTGTTTTAGAGAAGCATTATTTTCAGCCCGAGGTCATCCTGCTTTTTGCAGTCACCTAGCAAGTGTGGTTCCTACAGCTGTAGCTATGTTCAATGATGCCAACGTGCAAATGAGAAGGCAAATTAAAATGCTAATGTTAATTTTACCTTTATGAAACTAAGTGAAAGAAGTGAAATCAGAGCATGTGTCTTATGGAAAAACATGGGTAGTAGAAAGTGTGGTGGAAACATGGTGAAAGTTAACAGTGCACTGTTTTTAATTTTCAGTAGACACAGGTTATTGAATTAGACATTGCTGACAATAAACGCAAATATTACTATAGCCTATTGTACAGAAGGTGGAGACATTCCCAGAATTTTTGGTTCTGTTTATATCTGATGCACCTGGGGATCAATTAATTATTTATTTCCCTAGATTATTTTTAAAAGGTTCTCAAAGTCAGCAAACCTTCTGAACACCACTGTATATCCAAGATCCTTAACATTTGTTAGCATTCCTGTCTTTTGGAAAAAAAATTTAAGTTACTGTACACTGCTAAAGTATGAAATAATGGTCCAGATTCACAGACACTTTGTGATTTTAGTAATCTGTATGTTTCAGAGAAAAATCTGTGCTTGTGCAAATTAACCTGTTTTTAGCAATATGTTTAGAATGATGCTTTTATTTTGTACGTTGAAGCTTTCTCCTTCAGCCAGGAAATCGTTCTATTAGAAACTTGAGAAGTAGCGTAGTAGCTGTTACACAAGCAAGACCCCATATAAGTTTTGAAAAATAGCTTGACGTGACATTATTCTTTACTACTGCAGAGATGGAATATTTAGATTTGAGGCTGCTAAATAAGAAAGGGAGGCCACCGGTGTTTAGGACATAAATCGAGGGTTAGTGATAACACAAATAATCCTTTTATTAGACAAGTAGATTGTGAAGGCTCTCCACCTTCTTGCCAGTTGAGAGACAGACATGCTGGCAGTACATCTGGAGAGAACGTTAGTGTTCCTGGAACAAAAGTTAATTTGTTTTGTGCAACAGTCATTGGTATTCAATTAAAATATGTCAACCAATAGAATATCAGTGGCAAAAATATGTGTGCGTTTCAGCATTGCATGTGGATTATTTGTACTTCTCAATGACTTGCTTATACCTCTAAATTATTGCTTTATAGAGTTATGGTAAACCTGGTTTTGGTGAGACAATAATGTAGTTCTGTTATGGAGAACAGAAATGTGGCCTGTGCTTCTCGGTTACTCTGTTTATACGCTGCAATAATATAGTACTTCTAAATGCTACATTTATATGCCTTCTATTATTTCGTAAAATTCTTGTGATGCAGCTTCACAACACGGTGGCTGAGATGGAGAAGGAGAAGTTTAACATCCGGAAGAAGCACACAGAAGACATGGAGAAACTGCTTGAGGACACCAATGCTTGCCTTAGCAAGATGAGGGAAGATTATTTGGAAGAGATAAAGTCAACTGTAAGTTTTTTGTAAATATGTCATGACAGCAAGTGTCAGTATTCAAATTCCTGCCCTTGTGCAAAAGTGTGTGTAAGCAGTGTTGAGCTGAGAGCTGGCTGTGATAGTGCAGTGCAGTCGTTCTCTCTTGGGAGAGGACAGTGTCTTGGCTGTCAGTCCAACTAAGGATTTTTCCCCCAGATAAAATTAATCAATGATTATTACTCAGATGTTTGTATTGAAGGACCATTTCTAGCATTTCTCACTGGTTTTGACTCAAGTTACCACAACCTTTTTTCTCTATAGGTTTGTAGACTATAAACAAGGACCTTTATAGGACATCTATTTTCATAGATACATATGACTTCTTACCCACCTCCTCTTCAAATGATCAAGTGTTTCTGTTAAAGATAAAACAAAAAGGTTTTAAAAATAATTATCAAATTATTCTAATTTATTGCTTTTCATTCCTAGAGTAATTAGCAACATATAAGCTGGTATAATCTGGATTTTGTTGTGTCTGCTATATAAGTGATGTAAAAAGCAAAAAAACAACAACCAGACAGGTATCCTCAAGAAAACATCCTATACTCTTTATCAGGTTGAGGTATGAAGAAAATTGAATGAGTGAAAAGGCAATGTCAAACAAAATGTATTCCTTTATTAATGAATGTTGAATTTAAAAATTAGCATTCAGATCATGTCATAGGTAACAGTAAATACAGAGAAAAATGGACACAGTCTGTCAGCAGGATTGAATTTAAGAACCATCACAACCAGACAGATCTTGCTGAGCAGCTTCTGATTTAATAATTAAACAAGGTAGAGTTCAAGGCAGGGCTTAAGATGAAAGACTAGACTGTCACTGGAAATTAGTTTTCTTTTTTTTCTGTCTCTTTCTTTCTGCTGATTTTTGGTGGGTTTTTTTTTGTGTTGGTATTTCAGAGCTTCCTTGTTCAGAGTTTCATGTTTTTTCATTGCTGTTAGCGAGTGAAATTGGCTGAACAATTTCCCTAATCTCATAGAACTGATAAGCAGGGGTTTGTGCATTGAACGAGGATGAACTTCCTTGAAGGAAGGGATGCAGGGAGGAATTGTGATATTTGGTGATACATCAAGTACGGTTTTTGCCTTGTGTGGTTTTTTTGCTGTTCTGGTGTTCCTGAAAAACAAACAAAAACCAAATCAGAAAAGCCCAAACCAGGCAAACAGCCCTTTCCCCTTCTCCCACCCCGTTCTGTGCCACTGGCTTTGTGCTGAAGGCAAAGTTTGCTGTACAGAGTGCGTGAAATTCCTTAGGCCAGTTGACAAAGTTCAGGTGAGCATTCCGGCTGTGCGAGGTTCTTGCCTTAGTCCAGGCTCATTTAACAATTCTGTGCCCTCTGGGGCACTCGCTGGAGGTGGCAGCTGTTTGCGTTTTTAGTTTCCTTTAATGGAGGGCGAAAATCATGTTCTATTTCTCTCACGTTCAGGTCTTTGTTAATATAAAAATAACTATGATACATACATCCTGGAAGGACAGCTGGGTCTTGTTTTTTGACTCCAGCCTCCTGAGGAATTCTTCTCATATCTCTGTGCATGTTAAAATGCATTGAGGGAAGAATGGGAAGCAGTAGTCTCATGCTACCTGCCTGCAAATTTAACTGATTTGAAACACAACTGGATAGCATTTGTACTGTTAATGCAGTATTTGTATTATAATCGTTCCTCTTACATCCTCCAAATTCATAGCAGGTATTACTCTGTCTGTTTGTTTACATCCTTGGATGTAGTTCTGCCAAAATGTGTATGAAAGGCTGTTGCTGGAAAACTATATTTCTTCAGCAGCTGAAGCCTCTTGCTCCTTGATTTAGTTTAGAGATTTCATATATATATTTTTGAATTTGTAAACATGTAATAGTTCTAAAAGTACTCAAGAATATTTTAGGATGAGAAAGCTACAGATTTCACTGGATAATATACAGTTTAATATGTTTTTTAGCTGACTTTTATAGCTGCTCCTCTCCATAATAATCAGTAAAATCTTTATATAGATATGAGTGTGTCTGTTTATATACCTTTTTTCCCCCAAAATAACTCCATCCACATTGTAGGTATTGCTAGTGATACCACATTTGTTGGTTAATGGACGATAAAAGTCCTTTATGTGTATTATCATCCATTACAGTTTTTTGTAGTAATACCTGTCTGACAGATTTATGGTTCAGAAATCAGTTACACATATTGTTTTTCTTAGGGGAGAAGACACTTTACGTAGTGTGGAGGGAGTTAGACATCCATACTTTGAAGATTTATTTATTTTTTATATACAACATAGAATTTACTGTCATGATTGATAACAGCTTTGCTGTTATGACACTGGGCCACTGAAGAACCTTGTTGCTCGAGGCTACTAAATACCAACAGGGGCATACCCTAATTTATTCCGGTGTTTTCTCAACAATGACCTGTTCTTTTAGAATCAGAGAGTCAAAAACCAGGAGGCTCGTGTCCAGCAGCTGACTATTGAAGCTGAAAATAGTAAGTTACAGCATCAAAAATTAGCTCACGAAAAGACTGAAGCAGAACAACGTTACCAAGCGGTATGCTCTGAACTGCAGGAAATGAAAGCAAGGTAATTAAATAGCAGTTGCTATTCTTAACATTGAAGAGTATGGAGTTTCCAAAAGCAGTCATTATTAATTTTATTTCAAGAACTCTCTGAATGGTAATTGGCATTAGAAAATCGTCATGAAAATGTATTAATTGATGTAGAACTCATTTTGGAACTGACCCAAATGACGACTGCAAGAAGTACTTCGTCTTTCCGTTATTTACAACCTTTTCCTTCTGTTACGATGAGCACGTGGTCCGGGCAGACTTGCATACTCTGTAGAATTTATACCGAGCAAGTAAGATGCCAAAATATGAAAGCAATTTCCGTATTTTCTTTGCTTCTTGTAGGCACAGCTCACTTCAGAAAGACAAGGAGAATATTATACAGGAATATGAGAAGAATATTCAGCAACTGCAAAGTAAATATGATGTTGATATAAGTTCTGTAAAGCAGGAACATGTTCTCTCTGCAGCTAAGGTACGCTGCCTCGTGTAATGCCCGTTTGGTCCCCGTGTGTTGCCTGATCTAGTTGAGAGGCGTCCCTGCCCATGACAGGGAAGTTGGATTAAATGATCTCTAAGGTCCCTTCCAGCCTGGGCCATTCCATGATTCTGCGATTCTAACAGGAATTAAAATGCTGTTCATATTTTAAGTGGTGCCCTCAGTATAAATGTAATGCCATTAGGTGAATTAAAGGAATGTACGTAAGTTTAAAAAAAAGTGATTTGAGTTTTTTCATTCCCAAATTTGTCTGAAGTTGACTGGTAATTCTGGAGTGTGTATGTGGTCATACAGGTGATATTCTAATAAGGTACCGTTAATATGCTGGGGTGTTTTTGTGCTTCTGTAGAAACTCGAGGTACCAGAAGACAACAGTACTCCTGAAGAACTAATTTTCAATAAGAGAAAATACCTGTTTCTAGAAATAAACTGACTTGTCTCTTTAAGAAATTA